GGAGAATGTTGAGAAAGAAGAGGAGGAGGAGGAGCAGCAGGAGGACGAGGAGGGGGAGGAGGGGAAGGAGGAGGACGAGGAGGGGGAGGAGGGGGAGGAGGGGATGATGATGATGATGATGATGATGATGATGATGATGATGATGATGATGGACGACAATGGGAGGACGACGATGGAGGCCGATGAGGGGGGGACGACAATGGGAGGACGATGGTGGAAGGATGAGGGGGGGAGAGGGAGGACGAGGAAGAAGAGGAGGACGATGACGATGAGGACGAGGACGAGGAAGAGGAGGAGGAGGAGGAGGAGGAGGAGAGCGCCATCGACAGGGAAGGTGGGGGCCACGAGGTCGGAGAAGAGCGTCATCGACAGGGGAGGTGGGGGGCACGAGGTCCGCCGGCTCGACGACGCCCGCGTCGCCCGCGCCCGCCCCCCCACTCTTATCCGCAATTGCGGGGTGCTACGTATTTTGTCCAGATATGTTCTCAAAGGGGTGGCGTGATGTCGTGGCACCTGTCATGTTTGATACGTCGTCTAATCGGTCGTTGCTGCGCCTGTGCTTGACCTGTGGCCAGACTTCTGTCGACATGGATGCTGCTCTTGACTGTGGCAGAGTCCGGCGGCCATGGAATCTGTCACTGTTGTATGTGACACGATGCAAACATGTCATACTGCATCCTATTCAGGTGAAATATACTGCATTGTGTTCTCTTGTGTTCTCGACGGGCCCGCGTGAAGTCGTGACGCCCGTTGGAGACGTCGTCCTACAGGTCGTTGCTGCGCACGTTTGTGCCTGTGGCGCGCCTGACCTCTGCGCGCACGTCGAGTATGATTATCCGGCTGCGCTGCAGCGCGATTCCGCCGCCGCGCTCGGGCAGGCGGGGGCGGCCCTGGGGAGGGGGGATCGGCCATGGACCCCCCTCCGCGGACCCTATATTTGGGACTGAGTTCTGTCCGGAAAGGCCGACGGCGCAGGGACTCGGCCACACACGCGAACGCACCTTGGGCTCGATGCGCTGGGGAGCCCAAACTATGTCTTTGCTGAAGGCCTACGGGCCCGCTGCACGCCAATTGCTGCAAACGCGGTGGCGGATATTTAGGTACGGTCGAGTCTGCTATGAGGCGCCTCTTCAGTTGTGATCCACTCAACTCGTTTTCAGTATACCATGGTGTGATCACCTCTGTCATTGGATGAATTGGTATGGCGCGCTGTGCTCTTATGTCGTGTGATGCCCTGTTGTGGGTCGCACGACATAGAATGGTCATTATGTTACGCAGCCCTCTGCTGCATTTCAGGTCATGGCATGCCTGTTCTATTATGACACGACGATAAACCCTATGATGTTACATCATCTTCGTTGCCATAGCGACAGCAGTAACACACAAACTATGATATGGCATGCTGGCTACGCCGTGCCCTGTGAATTATATAATGTTATGCTATGCTCTGTCATGGCTTCTTCGTCGAAGCGTACTAGCAGAAGGTGTCTTAGTACACCCGTGGCCGCCATGGTAGCAAAAGTCTGGTCTGCTCTGCTGGGAAGCGTCATGTTATACTCTATGATGCTCCGCCTTGTCATCTAATGACATGCTATATTATCGGGGTATCGATGCTGTGCTCTGGTATGTTACATTGCGTCATGTAGTGTTATGGCATGACCTCTTATGGTACGGCATGGTACATGTATACCTGTCATGCCGCGCTACGCCATAGTATGCGTTGGCATGCTATGGTATGTTATGTGACGCTGTGGTGAGCTCTGGTCTACGATGGTATGGTATGAAAGGGTTTGGTATAACATGGTGTGTCATGTTACGATGGGTGCTGTCATGTTCGGACCTGTAGACTACGATCTGTCATAACATGCTTTGGTATGCGATGCGTGTCCTGTTATGTGATGTTGTGGCGTGACATATCCTGTTAAATCGCGGCATGTACACATGTTACGAGTTGCCATGCCATTGCATGTTCTGGTATGATATGTGCTGCTAGGTCCCTACCAGCGCTCGCACTTGAGGTCTCTTACTTCCTTTCAAAAAGTTGGCATGTCTGCCAGTCTGGTTGGCCCGTCGCCGGCCCGTTGCCGCCTCGTCGCCGCCCGTCCGTCGTCTGGGCCTGTCTGTCGGTCGCCATGCTTGTTGCCGCCGTCGCCGCCAAGTCGCCGCCTCGTCGCCGCCCGTCGCCTGGGCCTGCCAGTTGGTAGCCGCGGTTGTTGCCGCCGTCGCCGCCCAGTCGACGCTTTGTCGCCGCCCGTCGTCTGGGCATGTGTGTCGCTCGCCGCGCTTGTTGCCGCCATTGCCGCCCCGTCGCCGCCTCACATATATCGTCCAACATATATTGCGCAACATATACTGCACAACATCGACTGCACCGCATATTTCGCACGACAAACATTGCGCACAACTGAGATCGCACAATAGTGTGCACCAAAGTGTTTGCACCACATAAACCGCACCACGAAAATTCCGCACATTAGATATTGCACACCATAACTTGCACAACCTATGTTGCAAAAACGTGCATTGCACAACACAATTTGCACCACAAGGGTTGCTCAACGCATGTTGCACAACGGATGCGGGACCTCAAAGGTTGCCCGACTTCTGCTGCACAACATGGGTTGCACAGCCTACCTTGCACAACATAGCTTGCCCCACAACGATTGCACAACTTGTCTTTCACCGTCTAATTTGCACGGGACATATTGCACAAGCAATATTAGGCAACATGCGTTGCACCACGTTGATTGTACCACGTAGGATGTTTAGATCTATGTTTGTATAACAAAAAATCCACCCCGCGGGATTTTCGACGCCCCTTTTTGCGTATTACAATTTACAACTAATTTTGCCCCACCGCCCATCCGAACTATGAATCCATACCATCACAGGCAAGCTGGTATCGCAGCCCCCAGTCCTCCTCGGGAAAAATATATTATGCGTGCGCACTCGCATATAACAAAACCAATAAATTTCAAGGAAACCCTTGGCAACACCTAGGCCGAATTGCGCACGCGCGCGTCGTCTCGCGCGCATGCCGGAATCCTTCAACAACCTTCGTCCCAACATCATAAAACCACATGGTTCCGCAACACGGGTTTCCATGAACAGAGAAAAACAAACGTGCGAACGCGTGTTTGCGAACTCTGCAGAAAACAAAAACCCATTTCAACATTTCCAGGGATTGCTACCAAACGGGCTTCGCGCGCGCATGTCGAAACCGTTCGAACGTCGTTTCGCGCGTGCTGTCGCGAGAACCAGTTGTCAAACGCAGGGCGAAAAGCACGCGCGCGCGCCGTCGCGCGGGCATGCCGACATCCGTCAAACAAACCTGCGGTTTCGTAACGGGCTCAAACACATGCACAAACACATGGTTCCGCAACATCAGTTTTCAAACAAGCGTGCGCTCGCGCTCTTGCGCGCCCTTACGAAAACCATGGGATTATGCCAAGCGGATCTCTGGCATGCGCCGACATCATTCGCACGCCCGTGCGCGCGTGCTGTGGGGTGGGGTGGGGGGGGGGCACGATCCGTGTCACACAAAACCATGCGGGCCACTCTCGCGCGTCGGCCGCGCGCGCATGTCGAACTCTTTCCCAAAACTTCACCACCAACGCGAGGATGCCGTGACGTCGTCGGCGTGGTCAGCATCGGCGCCCGCACTGGCCGCGCCCTCGTCGATGTCAACATCGTCACCAGCATCGTTACTGTTATCATCGTGTCTACCGTTGTCGACGTTGTCATGATACCGCGCCCGCCCAAGTCGCCGACTGGCAGTGAAGTGCCCGCTGGGATGTGCCCAGCGGTCAGCGCCACCGCGGCCGCGTCGGAGGCGCCAAACTAGCTGGCCGCTGCGCGCGCGTGCTAGGGTTGGCGCGGCCGCAGAGATGCACCAGCCAACGCCAAGCGCATGCATCGCAATCGCCACCGCATGGGTTTTCCAAACCAAATTGCGGGTGGGTGGGTGCGATGTTTGCACGAGCATGGGATGTGTCAACTCGTTCGTTAAAACCCATTGAGCCAAATTGATCGCACCACATAGCGTGCACAACAAATATTGCACATCAGAGGCTGCGCAACATATATTACACCACCTAAATTGCACCACTTAGATTGCTAGACATAGTTTGCAAACACCTATTATACCCCATAGGCCGCCACACTTCTACTGCACAGGATAAGGTTGCAACACGTGAATGTACAACATTGATTGTACCACATGCATATCTGGATATAGATATAATGACAGATAAATGCTGCTGGACACACACTAGTGGGGGCCCGCGCTGGCAAACATTATGTTCTGTCATGTTCACATGGGCGGGAATCTCGGGGATTCTCGGTGCACCTGTGGATATGCACAACGGGCCGGTCGGGCAGGGAGGGGCAGAAATCTTGGGGATTATCGGTGGACCTGGGGATATGGCGGTCACGGTATGCAAGGTGGGCGGGCCCGGAGGTCTGTTCTGAACATTTAACTTGTTAGGTGGAAAAAACATCTTATCGTGCGGTGCACCCACACCACTCTTTGGGCGCAATCCGGCCAGAATTTCGACGTGGATCCAGCCATGACAACGGAAGTCCCGTCAGGAGGCCCAAGCACATAGAAAAATACACACATACGCTTTTCTTGGCATCGCGGCCACGTTCGCAAAAGCGCGGCGAAGTCAGGCTGGCCATGGCCGAACACACACACACACACACAAACACAAACACACACACACACACACACACACGCACACACACACGCACACACACACACACACACGAATCCTGGAGGACGCGCCCTCCTCCTTCTTTTGCCCCTCCACCGTCCCCCTCCTGCCTCTCATCCTCCGTTCTTCCTCCTCGAATGCCTGCCCGTTGTCTCTCTGCAACAGGCTCTTCGGGGCGCCCAGGGGTAGGACGGTCCCTTCTCCTTCTCCTGCCCCCGCCCGTCCCCTTCCTCTTCCGATCTTCCTCCTCCTCGTCCTCCTCCTCCGACCCTCCTCCTCGACCGCCTCGTCGTTGTTGCTCCGCAGCAGTCTCTTCAGGGCGTCCAAGGGGAGAGCGGCCCGCATCCTGTCCGAGTACCGCACCCGGTCCGCGTCCTCGTCCGCGGAGTGGTCCACGCCCTGGGCGGGCGGGGTCGGGCGCCAACCCAGAGGAGGGGGGCGGGGGGGGGGGGGGGGGGGGGGGGGGGGGGGGGGGGGCGAAGGGTCGCAGGATGGGCGGAGGATCGAGGAGGGGCAGGGGGCAAGACGAGGGTGAGGAAGACGAGGAAACATAGCAGTGGAGAAGGTGGGAGGATGATGGAGGGCGGTGGAGGAGGAGGGGGGGAGGGATGAGGAAAAGGGAGGAGGGACAAGTGTGGGGAGAGAACATAATGGCTCCCAACGCCAGCGAAAAACTGCCCGCCTCCGACAAAGCAGAAGTACGTAACAACAAATGCACTTTTGATGTCTTCATACGTTGGAGGTGTGGGTCCCAGGGAGCACGGGCCACGCTCACGAGGAAGTCGAGCACGACCGACTCGAGCCTCACGTCCGTGACCGCCGACGCGCCGCACAGCAGGCCGGCCATCCTCCACCCCGCGCCCCCGCCACATGGGAGCATCCGTCGCCCCCTGGGAGGGTAAAGATGGTTTCTTCCTCTTTTCGGCTCCACATCCCCCTCATCGTGCTCTCTCCTCTCTCCTGTCTCCTCTCTCCTCCCTCCTCTCTCCTCCTCCTCTTCCTCCTCTCCCCTCTACACTTTCCTCTTCCTCCTCCTCCTTCTCCTCCTGCTCACCCTCGTCCTCCTATTCCTCCTCCTCCTCCCCACAATCGTGAACACGTTCTTCAGCAAGCCCCTTGGTAAGTTGAGTACCTACACTACGACAGGCGGCTAAACCCGACTGTACGACTACATGTTGTGCCTTCTGCGTGCCAGAACTCCTAATCCGACAACATTCTCGACCTCAACTCGGATTACAAAGCCGTGTCCGTACAAATGCTTAGACACATACCAGGGCCCAAGCCCAACCACCAAGGATCTATCAGACTTTCCTCCAACTGGCAACGAGGGCGCACCGACCTCGACGAAAACCGACTAAGATTAGGCTCCAAATTACATCACGAACAGCTACAAACTGATCCGGACGACCTCACTGAAGCAATCGAGAAAGGCCTGAACGACGCCATTATGTGCAGCATATCCCATGAGAAGAACAACTGCACGAATCCGGTAACAACCACGACGACATTATCTCTAATATCGAGAACCAGCGCAATGGCATTCCAGGACCAGAATCAATGAAACGACGAATGATTAACACATCAATGCAGTAACACATCCGAGAAGAGAAATGCATCAATCGACGACAACAGATAAACACGATCCTGGAACAACACAAGGACCTCAAACGCATCAATTCCGTCAACACGAAAAGACAACGAACGCTAATGATGGGGAAGTTTGACAACGACGGGTCAAAAAATACTACCCGCCAAGAGATTGCAAAGTATTCGCGACCATATGCGAGGAGCTGTGCAATTACAGCGACGCTCACGACGGACCACCAACTGCAAGCGACGCCAAACACTGCATCACACCGCTTACAACGCAGGAACTCGTCAACGCAATATCACAACTCAAGCCAGGAAGGTCACCAGACGATGTACGGCCAACCTGCCTATTAAAGATGGGCAGCCATCCCAAGGGTACCCTTGCAAACTTGCCTCCTCGGTCCATCCTTGACCACTTTCGTTGGCCGCGCCCCGCTCGAAAAGCTTCGGAATGGGCGTCCAAGACCCTTGTATCCTTGTCGCACATTCTTATGATACGGGCCGACTGTAGGGATCAAGTCCGAATTGCTCAAACACACATGCTCACCAACACGTGCCATTGCAACCATATAGCACGGTGACACAACGAAGCGCCAACACCGTCAAGCTGGCGGAAAACGATGGTCACAATCATTTCCACATCGGGTGATCTGACACTTCGCCCAACTACGGCCCGATATGTACGCAACCCATGTTATACAAACTTATCAGCCGTCTGCTGCACAACCGGCTACCATCCATACCCCACAATCGAACAGCAACAACCCTACGACCCAGCAGGCTTCCGACATGGACGCGGCACGAACGACCACCCTGTCACCTTTTCACATACTACGGGAACGGGCTTCCGAATAGAATCTGGCGTTGTAGATTGCCGCCGTGGATTTGAAAAAGCGTTCGACACAATGGAACACGCCAGCTTGTGGGCATCCACGACCAGGATGCCGTCGTTCGCACCAACACCACCAGCAGGGTCTTTGAGCTCCGACGCCGTACGAAGCAAGGAGACCCTTTGCATCCTTTGCTGTTCAACGCTCTACTGCAAAACAAACTAGCACTTCCCATCCCGGAATGGCAGAAGACGATGAGAAGTTCAATTGGCGTATGCCCTCGAACCTATTATCACCGACCTCTGCTGTGCCAGCGATATCTTAGTGAGCCAGACGCTACCCAACCTGGAGACGCTACTGACAGACCTGATCACAGAAGCAAGACCCCGCGGCCTCGAAATGCACCCGACCAAGACGAGAATCATGGCACACCTCGGATCCGAACGCGCAAGGCGACAGCTGCAAACGTGAACATCGAAAACTCCCATGCACTGGCAAGCTGACATACCTCGGCCAAACCATTACAATCATCCAAGACGCTTTGGCGACAGTGACCCAACATCGCATTCGGGCTGCGTGGGCATGCTTCACAGGGCACAGAGAACAATTCACGAAGAAACGCGAGCCGCTCAACCACAATCTACAACTCTACAGCGGCACCGCCACATTCACCATGATGCACGGCGCAGAGACGTGGACCTTAACGGAGCCTCTCAGACAGCAGCCACGCCGCACGCAGCGACGGATCATCGGGGCGATCCTGGGAATACCGAGAGGAAGCACGACGACTCCCAGGTCAACGCACTCAGCCCCGACAACGGACAACCATACTGACCACGACCCCGGTAGCGACCACCCAAACGAATCCAACGACCACAATGCATCCAGCAACACGCCTACCACGTCAGAGGGATCCGCCACGCGCCGACAGTGGCGACACCGAGCTGCAGTCTGACTTCGTCCGCCGAAGCACGCGCAGAGCGGAGAAGTTAATGAGCATGCACGACTTCGGCACGGTGGCGAGGAGTGCTAGCCTGACGACGCAGGGCAGTGCGAGAGCAGAGCGCAGCAAGCAGGAGCATCAGACCGAGGCGGTCTCGCGCCACGGCGCGTTCGCTTGGAACCGAACCAGGGCGAGCGGAGCCTCTGGGAGCTCGTCGGCAGCGCGCGCAGCTGCTCAGACCCCGACCAGCTCTGCAGGCGCCGCCCATGCACCGTGGCGTCCCTGCGCGAGGCTGCGCCGCAGCAGCACGGCGAGGTGCCACGCCGCACGCTGCGCCGGGAATGGCGCTGCGCAGCGCGGCGCGCAGAAGGCGCGCCCCGTGCGGGGGCACCACGCCCTCTGGCTGCCAAGGCAAGCTGACGAGCGGGGGGGGGTGCTCCCTGCTCTCGTGTCCTCCCCCCGTTCCTCCAATCCCTGTCCACATACGGTGGCGGCATTCGATGAGGAACCCTCAAATAAGGAATCCAGGGTCTGGAAGCTTGTGGAACATCAGTTGAGGCTTGGCCATGGATATCACCGCTGCCATCATCAGACAAGGACCTCCAGGGTCTGAAGCCTCCTGAACGCATTCTTAACGAAAGCCCCCACCGTAGTCCATGGAATAGTTTGCTCGTGAGATTTTCGGCGAGGCTGTTCCACCTGCGCTGGTTGTGACCGAGGTTCGAACGCCCTCGCTCGGTATCGCATATGATGATTCAACGCACGCCGCGGGCTGCTGGAACGCGAGCTCTCAGTCAGACGCATAGATGGAACGCGCGCCGTGGGCTGTTGGAGCGTTGCCCCTCGCAACAATTGGGTGCTGGGACGCACGCCGTGAGCTGCTGGAACGTTGTGCCTCGTCAGCAAAGGGGCGCACGCCCGTGTTTGCAGCATGCGCTGAAGACGCATGCTCCCTCGTAGAATTTGGTCGCTGGGGCGACACGTTGTTAAAGGCTGCCAGCATGTAGCTCGGACGGGAGAGGGGTAAAGGCCTCGGCAGGGGGCGGGGTCGCTAGCATTATATGCTCGCCAAGCTTTCAATGGGGGCCCATTGCTTACACGCCCTGCCACGTGTGTGTGTGTGTCTGTGTGTGTGTGTGCGTGCGTGCGTGCGTGCGTGCGTGCGTGCGTGTGTGTGTGTGTGTGTGTGTGTGTGTGTGTGTGTGTGTGTGTGTGTGTGTGCGTGTGTGTGTGTGTGTGTGTGCGTGCGTGCGTGCGTGCGTGCGTGCGTGCGTGCGTGCGTGCGTGCGTGCGTGCGTGCGTGCGTGCGTGCGTGCGTGCGTGCGTGTGTGTGTGCGTGTGTGTGTGTGTGTGTGTTGGTGCTTTGGTGCGTCGGCAGCCTGGGGCGTCAACACCTCGCCAGGCCCGCGCGCTGGGCTCTCGAGCGACCGACCGCCGCCTGCCGAGCCACCGAGGGAGCCGAGCCGCGGGCAGCGCCCCCGCCGACTCCCCAGGGTGCAGAGCGCGCTGGCCCTCTCGAGGCCGCGCCCCACCCTAGGCCCCTCAGCCTGGAGCCAAGGGGGGCTGAAAAGCAAGCGAGCCCCAGCCGAGCCCAGGCCACCGCCAACGGCGAATGCGGGCCCAGGCACCCCAAGGGACAGCAGCCCCTCAGGCCCCCCAGCCACGGCTTCTCATCCGCGCCGAGGGGGGCATAGCACACTCAGGAGCACGGGCGCAACGGCCTCAGCTCCACGGTGAGGCCATCCACACAGCTGGCACTCCTGCTGCAGAAGAAAGTTAGTGAGGCCATCCACGCAGCTGGCGCTCCTGCTGCCCACGAGCGAACGCGCGAACGACGCAGCGACGGAACCTCGAAACCCCTCCAGGGTGCGGAACCGCCGCAGGGTACGCGTGCACGCTCGAGCACACGCCGATGCGCACCGAACACTCGTGCACGGCGAGGCCATCCACACAGCTGGCACTCTTGCTGCAGAAGAATATGGATGAGGCCATTCACGCAGCTGGCACTCCTGCTGCACACTCTGGAGAAGGTCGGAACGCTGCTACGCCTCCTCGCTGTAAACGTTGGCGATGTCCTCGGCCGTCAGCTTGTCCTGCTCGGCGCCGTAGGTCTCGAGGAACATCTTTCCTTCCTTGCTGTATGGCTCGCGGCCAAAGTGGCAGGCTGCCGACTCCTGGTACATGGGCTCGCGGGGGGGCGAGCGATACTGCGATGTCGCCTGGGTGGCAGTCGAGCTCCACCTCAGCACGTTGGGCCTGTCCACGGCCGTCAGCTTGCCCTGCTCGGTGCCGTAGGTCTCGAGGAAAAACGGCAGCGGCTTCGCGACGCCGATGGCGTAGGACAAATAGCTGCACCCAGTCAGTGCCGCGCTGGCCTCCGCCGAGTCCATCGAGGCGTACTCCACGACGCCCGTGGCGGACTCCCACACGAAGGACTCTGCTGACCGCTTGTCCAGCTCGGTGCCGCAGGTCTCGCGGAACAGC